TAGTTAGTAAACATAAACTATTATGTCTATCAGCTGCAACCAACCAATCACATGGCATCACGTTCAATGACAGAAGATGGCTCTAAACATGTTTTTAAAACTTTATGTACTTATTTCTTAAATCCAACTTTTACATCTATGTCGGTTTTTGAGAGCAGGGCTCTCCTCATATATCAGCACCTATGTGGTGACATCATCTGAGTGGCAACAACTACCATCCAGGAGAATACTGCGGCAGCTTTCTGGATGGGCTCCTACAAGTGACGTCACAAAGGACACTCCAGTCGTTATTAAAGGCACAAAAGTCGTCAAACAACAGTGTGCAGTGCACCGAATTTGGATTATTCCAGGCAACTGAGTCATACCACTGAGGTTATCACCCTCACCAAGGAGGTTTTGTTTTTGGTAGCATTTGTATGTCATTCTGAATGTTAACAGGATCGCTTTGACCTCTCCTGATAATAATGTTATATAGAGCTATATAAAAAATGTGTTTGTATGGACATTTGGGAAATGACACTGGAAAATGGGAATCTAAATATCACATTATAGTTTGCATCCAATATCATATTTGACCTCTGACCTCACTTTTACATTTCACATCTGCCTTTCTCTCAAGTTGATACAGATGTATAACAGATTGTGAGAGCAGCTGAGAAGATCATTGGAGCCTCTCTTCCCCCCACCACGGACACCTGGAGCACCCGCTGCATCCACAAAGCCACCAGCATCGTGGAGGACCCCACGCAAACCTCGCACACACTCTTCACTCTGCTGCAAGAGGTACCGGAGCATTCAGGCCCTCACTGCCAGACTGCGAAACAGTTTCTTTCCCAAGCCGTCAGACTCCTGAACACTCGGTGACTGGACTGACACACACACACACACACCTTTATACACAAAGTGACTTTTTGCACAATGCTCAGTCTTTTGCACATTTCTATTGCACTGCTGTGCCTGCACTGTCTTGTGTCTGTATCATTCTGTTCTGTTGGCTGTTGCACTGTCTTTGTTTTGGTTTTTTGCAACTTTTGCACATTGCACTTTGCGTGTTGTTTGTCTGTTATATGTCATTTGTAGCACCAAGCTCTTGGAGGAATGTTGTCTCGTTTCACTGTGTACTGGACAGTTCTTAAGAACAAACCTTTGGTTTCAAGTGAGACTGCTTGCAGACGTGCAGACCTTTAACATCTGCTGTCAGGTGTCTTCCTATACAGACTGCTGAGACAATACTAGCGCTAAAAACTGTGTAATCTCCAGTGTGAGGAAGAAACTATGGGTCATTATGTGATATTTAAGTCAAAGGCAGACTCAACTTAGACATAGATTGGTTGAGTTGTAGATAAGTAGATGGCTGATTTGACCACAGACTGTGGTGAAATTAGCAACTACTGCAAACTCAAAAATAAAACCTGCTGGTGTATGTAAGGTGAAATACCTCAACGCTGCTGTCACTTTGCTGTTAACTTCCTCTATGCATGGTTTGTTCTGGCTTTAAAAACCTGTGTGCTGTTGCTCATGCTTTGGGTATTACACAGCAACACGGCACAGAATTCAGTGGATCAGCTGTGGTCTGGCACACCGTGCAGCTTTCTAAGTCGGAAATGATATCCAACCTATCCATTCCTATTCAATCCCATGTTGAAAATGCCAATATTTTTGAATGAGGAGCCTTGTGATAAATCTGATCCTAGTTTTTAAGCCAATTTTTAAGGTGCTTCTGAATGTAGAGTGCAGGTAGATGACATTCAATGTTTAAACTTTGAGCAATAATGTTTAAATACTGCTGAGCAACATTTTGTTCATGGAAATGTTTGGTCAGTTTAAACCGTGATCCTCTTCCAACTGCAAATAATCTAAGATTTCTTATTATGGGTTAGGCTAAGTGGGAGCACTCTTAAGCACTTTTACTGTAACTCAGAGTATCTCTTATCTTAGTGAAGAGCACCGCAGCAGCAAATGAAGGGTAAAAGGGCAAAAATGAAAAGCTAGCTTTCAAAATAAAGTGATAGCACAACTAGAATAGTCATTGGTGCTCCTGGATGGAATTACTGTGTAGGGCTGATCAAACCCTTGGAACACAGAAAGGTTTCCATTACTCAAGCCTGAGCCGACTGGTGCAGCTCTGCACTATGATATCAGATGGTAAGTTACAAAGTTCCAATTTTGGACTTAGACAGGAAGTCAGACGCGAAACAATGTTTTACCTAAAACTGCCCACACATGCTTGTGATCTATCACCTCTCCTATCTGTGGCGTTGTGGTTGCTGCAAAAATGGATCAACACCTACCTACCATCGCTCTGTTAAAAAAACATGCAGGGATAAATTATAGTACAGTTACAAAGTGACAAGATACTAAGCAAAGGTATCTCATGCAAGTTGGGTCTTAGAAGAGGATTAGAAAACAGAGTAGGTGCTTTTGTGGAAGTGGTACTTTAAGTTTAGGGTGTATCTGGCATTCATTCCCAGTTTAAGTCTCAGCGTAACTCACACTTTAACCCCCGACAGGCTGGAAGAAGACAGCAGCAGTTAATTGGGGTTTTTTTTTGTTTTTTGTTTGTTTTGGTTTTTTTGGAGGGGGGGGGTCAGAACATATTGTTAGCAAGTCAATTAGCCAGTCAGTACGAGTACCTACCACATGTCTGCCTAATCCACTACAAATACCTGAAGTTTAAAAAGGTGCAGCTTCACTGTTTAAGCCTTAGTAGGTTCCACACACAACTGTAGAGTGAATAACACTATCAGTGTTATCAGAAATCAGTGTAGCACTATTATTCAATAAGTCAACTTATTGTATAAAATTGCAGTCCATTCTAGATTTAAACCTAATTTATAGGCCTACATATATATATATATAATATATATATATATGTGTACATATAACACCACAGACCACAGTGGTGTCCTAAAGTTTTGATAGCAACTGACCTCACAAAAATTTCCACTTTGTGGTCCTTACTCTTTAGTAAGTGTTTGCAAAGCAGCATCTCTCTTTATTTCTAGTGAAAACTGAGTCAACTTTCTATGCTAAAGAGCCACAAAACTCTGCAGAACAGCTCATATTCTGTAGGCCGAAGAAGTAAAAGATGATGGGGACAACACCTTTTTTAGAACACTCTTGCAGCCGTGACACATAGCACATTAACACCCACAGTCTTGTGTTTATAATAAAGTGTCATGCTATATTAGTGCCCACAGTTCTTCATTATGAATTCCCAAATGTAAATAGTAAAAAAAAAATGTACTGCTTCTCATTAGCATTACAAATGTATTTTCCATATTGAATACAGGGGATGAAAACTACTGAAATGCACTCTGGACTCACTGTTCTCCAAACAAAGATTAGCGCAACCAAAAACACCAGTCCAACAGCTCCTGTTATAGCATTTATCTGCCAGTACACTGGCTGTGTTTATGACTGTTAATGACTTACATATCATTGAGACTCATTGTTATGAATTGGGCCTCTTTTTTGTATGCATCAGTGTCGGCTAGCTGCCACTCGTAGTATTAAATATTCCTTGCATTTTATTACAATTAAACTTACACAATATGAGATCCTTGATGTCCTGGTATGTTTTGTGCTGGTGTTTTAAAAGAGGTTTATGCCCTTCTTGATATGGAAACAGCATATTGTCCATTGCTTACTATGAAAGGTGGACCCAAAGTATGATGGTGTGCAGACATTCATCCATTGTAGGGAAGAAAGCTTGACTGTGATGATGAGAGAGAGCTGTTTTCTGCCCGACAACAATGTGAGTTTCTTTTCTTTTCTCTGACGAGGTCAGAGAGGAATGGAGAGTGTAGATGACTCAGAGCCAAGGCGATTGGTCATCACAGAAGGGCTGTGACGCTTTCTGGGTGCAAGTTTAAGAAAATAGGTGAGCAGGGAAGTGCAAATTAAAAATACAGAAACACAGTCACATGGTGGGACTCTCCAGGCATAAAATGCCCATGTACTCGTTTCAGTTCTGCTTTACATGCAGATCACAGAGTGACCCGCTGATGAGCTAGAGACAACCTTTAGTGAAGCTAGCCCACACAGTGAAAATGTAGGACTCAAATCTTACTGATCTCTGACACATTCTTAAATCTTCCAGCAGTTCTACTTCAGGCAGTTTCTATGGCGTCTTCCTCAGTGAACCCGAGCCAAGCTGGATGTGACGATCGCCACAGAGTCACACTGATGTTTTCAAATGCATTAACTGATTTCACCGTCAGCACTGCAAATTCCAGACTGAACAGATTGCAAAAGAGAGGCTGCTGCTTTAATCGTGACACTGTAGACTGAAGGTAGAGAGCAGCTAACAAACAGCATACTTTTGATGAATCCCACTCAAAGGGCGTGGCACCACATGCATTAAGTGTGCACAACAAGTTCCTTACATACAGTAGTTGACATAGTATGTGTCTTTCTGACTTCCCTATTCTGGTAAACTGGCTTCCTCAAAATGCCCAAATGCAACTGAGGTATGCAGGTCATATATAGAATACTGTGACTTGGGTAACTGTGATGTTTTTGAATGAAAAGCGTCAAGTTTTCAGCAGATGACCAGACTATCTGATCCTGAGACTGCGGCCGCAGGTTGTCATAAATCATAACGTACTAAGATAAGAGAGGCCCTCACTAACGCAGCCTTAAAACTCAGAGAACAACTGCCGAACGTACACTTCAGCTACTTTGTTCCTTTTGATTCTATTCTGCCTTTTTATCCTGTTTATGTAGCCGTGCGAGGCTCGGCATGTCCTGCTGCTGTCCTGCCACAACCAACCAGGCAGCCAGTGATGAACCGCTAATCGCGTTTACCAGAGTTTCTCTCTGAAAGGCTCCACATTTTCTCTCTGCGCTCTTTCATTAACGCGGTCAGTTTGTGGGTGGAATTAGCCGCCCTGCCCTGGCTGTGGTCCTTCCACCCTGACTCTGTGCTGGAAGGAGCAGATTCCGTGGATCGGTGACGTGGAGACAGGTGAACAGGTGCTTCCAGCCCCAGAACGTTTTCACTGCAGTTGACTGAAGCAGGCAAGCCCGTCTGCTGGAAACGTCACCTAACAACTTGTTGCTTCGCATGACTCTCCCATGAAAAGTGCTCCAGCTTCACACTGCCAGCACTCTTTGGGCCTCAGAAGCTCATCGCGCCTTTGCAAAGTACATTATTCTAACGTCACGGGGTGCTTTGATTCAACGCTTCTGTCAAAAGTGGTGAAACTGTCACAAAACAAAAGCACAACAAGGGCAGGCAGCACACGCAGTAAGACTCAAGGGACTACTCACATCTTCCATGATAAAGACTGGGCTCCGTTATGTGGCTGCTGACTAGCCCAGAATCACTCGACGTCGCCCTTTCTCACCAAAAACGCTTGAGTTGTCGCCTGCGGGCCGGCAGCTGACACATTTCCAGCGCACACGTTAATGAGCAAAAATAAGGAAATAGTCAGTTTATGACAAGGAGGGTCGGCTCGTTTTCCTTTTTTTCTGACAGAAAAAGTTCGAAGAAAAAAAAAGTAGTTTCCGGTTGAAGTCCCTTTACACTCTTGAACTGAAAAATCTGCAAGGAGGAGCAACGCGAGCAGTGTGTGCGCGTGCAGCAGCCACGCATCCTCGCAGCACGCTTGCGTTAAAGTGGACATCTGCGTCTGCGGGCCCGCGTCTGCGTCTGCAGCGGACCAACAAGACCCGCAGCTGCAGCTCCAGCATCCTTTGACAAGCAGACTCACAGCTCGGCCATCACTCCGTGGATGAAACCGCAGGAAACTTTTCCACTGCTTGGCAGACAGCGGGAGGGGGAGGGGTTTGTTGTTTGTTTGTTTACTTTCTTTTCAAAGTCGTTGTACATAATAACTAACATCACAGTGCTGTGACCTAGCATGTTCGCTATAGTCACTACTTCATTCACTCAGCACTTCCTGGTAGGTGTGGCTGTTCCTGTTGGTTTGTGAGGTTATGTTTGAAATCTGTAGCACACATCTTTCTAATCCGCACTCGAAGTGGTCGCACAAATTCTGAAATAGAATGAAAATAGACGGCGTATCACCCCAACAAAATATAAAGAAAGCAAAGGATTTAGTCATTTATTTAGTTATGTTTATTTTAAAAGACATTTTAAGAGTTTTCAGGGAGGAATACCTCAAATGAGGCCAGTGTGGTAAAAAAAAAAAGTTTTGATGCCAGCTACATCCTTGGAAAAGGTGTGTAATTCCAAAGACAGGGAAAAGAAAAGTCAGTCAATTGTAGTGAATTGGCAACAGGTCAGTAAAAAGAACTGGTATAAAAATGCATATGAGTCACTCTGATAGAAATGTGTTAGCCCTGCAACAGACTGCTGAGACCTGCACAGCGTGTACACTTCCTCTTGCCCCATGGTAGCTGGGAAAGGCTGATAAGGATAAGTGAAAGAGAGTGGATATATTTTTATTTCTTCTAGAGTGTGGGGCGAGAGAAGAAGATTGGCAACGAGCTCTACAAGGCGACCCTAACCATGTTTAAAGAGTCTGGCAATCCCACAGGTAGAAGAAGAGGAAGCTCCAGAAACAGCATAATGTGACCTTGATTACACTGTTTTCAGTGCAATCAGAGAAGACTGAGCTAAAGACTGCCACAACAAGGACAACACTGCTGATGATGCTCATGGCCAGAGGAACTCACACCCAAGGTTGAAGGTACACACTTGCAGCTCACATACCCGGTAGCATACAGCCTTTGTTCACATTCGTTATGTCCTATCTTGAAAATTCAGGTGCCACACACTCAGTCGTTAAGGGAATTTCCAACTCCTCCAAAGGTTAGTGGCAACTATTTGTCAGGGTGTCAGGACACATGATGAGAGAAAGTTTCACTGTACCACTTACGATGGTGCAATGACGAACTGGGGAAAACTTTTAAAAAACAAAAACTTGAATAGAAGTGAAGTGAACTGCAAGTTGCTGGAGCAAGTACTGGGCTACCAGTCTGATCAAGCACCACTACAGCCATGGATCCAGATGGGGGACACAGCAGAGAGCAAGCTTGGAAGTTGACCTTCATATGTATCGATTCATATTTTTGTAAACAGTCATCACTTCCATTGAAAGAGAGGAAAGCTGCGGCTCTTCCTCCTTGGACCCTATTATTATTCCTACAGTCAGATTTTCACTGCACAGCGTATGCTGTGTTGTTTAGCTTGTGTTTGGGAGTTGTGTCCTTGGAATGAACCAGTTTGTGTGTGAGTGTGTGGCTCGGATGTCGTTCTTGGAGAAGTTTCTCTGATAAACCTGCTATGTAAGGCATGACAGTGTTGTTCCGTTTGTCAGTCTGATGCTCCCTCGTTGGTGTCTGACCTTTACTGTGCATCTTCGCTGATTTGATGAAGGCCCAGTTGGGATAACATGTCTGTGTTCCTTTTCTTTCCCCGTGTGTGGTCTGTGTGTGTGGGCTTCCAGTAAACTTCAGTGTTGAGGTTTTCATTCTCCTTGATATGGACACAGACACAGCATTTTTTAGATGGATTATTGTGGAATGTAATTATTTTTGTGGTTAAAAACTACGAGTGACGAGTGACTAGACAGTTGATAATGTAAAGGTGATGAAGAATATTTTACCTTTCATAAGAGAGGCAGAGATTAATAATAACTAATGCGTAAGTGCAGAATGGTGCACAAACACAGAGTGAGTAAAAAGGTGAGAGGAGAAGAAGCACTCAGTTCCTGATCCAGCACTAACTAAAGCCCTATGCTGGTTCCACAGAAGAGGGGCCTGAAAGCTCAATGCTTTGCCTCCCATGCTGCTTTTACAAACCCTCCAAGTAGGCCCCCAGTCTGAGAGTAAAGTGCTCTATTGGGGTGATACAGTTCTATAACGTTGTTAAGATAAGATGGGGCCTGATTACCAAAGATATTTTACTTAAGGAGCAGGATATTGAATTCAATTCTGTATTCAACAGGGAGCCAGTGAAGGGAAGCCAAGATAGGAGAAATATGCTTGGGGAGGGAAACAGATTAACTACAGATACTGAGACTGTGACAGCCTTCGAATTTGAAGTTCCCAACACCCCCTCAATTAAAGAGAGCCTAGGAAATCTGATTTAAAAAGTCACATTTTTATTTTTTATCAACAACAACAAATACAATTAAGGGGAAATAATCCTATGTAATGCTGTAAACAGCAGGTCTGTTCAATAGTTCAGTTCCAAAGGGTCACTTCCCTGTTCATTTGTTCCCCTTTTGGCAACAAGGGAACAGCCAACGAGTAGTCCCTCTTCCTCTGCACAGCAGCTCCTCCCAGTACTGCTTCCTGATCCACTCTGTGGTACAGAAACAAACAAAGACTGGTACTTTGCTTTTAAACAAACTGCATCACAGACATCCCAGCTGATACCAACTATGGATATCACTCTCAAAAACAGATTTAAATGGTGCTTTATTGGCATGACAGTTTATAAAAACTATAGTTACAATCTGTGAATGCTCAAACTACTAACTTGGTTTGTTATAATTGCCACTGAAAGATGGTGAAAGCTGTAATCTAAGGCTAAGGCTACATCTTTGCAGTGTTGTGATTGCAGACATTCCCAGCTCTCTGTGAACAGCGCTAATCGGTGGTCATGAGAAACTTTCTTGACGCATGCTCGTCATCCAAGTTAATCCCTGTAAATCCCAGAAAGCTGATTGGGAGAAAGTCACTTCTTCAGCGCTTCTTTGTAACTGTTCATTTGGTTCACAGTCCACACCACACGGTGGCGGTAATTCACGGTGTGGTTTCTTGCCAAACACCAATAAACGCGAAGAAGAAGGAGCAGGAGCAGCATGTCTGCAGACAGTGTCCCCGCACAGACGTCTGAATATGCAAACGGAGGTTAGTAATGAAGTCATTCTGAAAGATACCTATAGTTTCGGCTTGGTTCCGTTTTTTAATGATATCTGTACGCACGTAGGTGACGTATTTCCTCTGCTGTTTCTCAAAGTGGTCGCCATATTGCTGGGGGGGCAGCCAGCGGTCTGTATACAAAGGAAACCGTCACAAGTTCCAAAATCCAGCGATTTCTAAGCGTTTCGTGTGGTTTGCTTTGCTCTGTTGTCTTGTCCGTGTTTGACTGACACATGCGGACCGATCATCTGCTGTCCGGCTGTGCTGCGCACCATTAATGCGCAGAAAACAAAGACTTCAATAATGTGATCGCAGATACAGACTGGTTGTTCAACTGAAAGCGTGAATGGCTGATTGAGGCCGGCTGTTAAAGGCGTTACACAAGAACCAGGCTGCTTCCAGTTTCCATTGACTTTGTGCTGCTGCTGTTTGGGTTGCTGTGATAACACAGCTGTTGTTACACGTGACTGAACTGTAAAGACGCCTCTGTGACAGCTCAGCGGTCTAAGGTGATGCTGACCCCTCACTATATCATGACTTAGTATTAGCTATGATGTTATTAAACGCTGAGAGCATTCAGAGTCGTAAGAAGGTTACGGGAACGGTCCAGTCAGCTGGGGGAGGGAAGCCCAGGCTGGACTATTAAAATGCAATTCAATTCAATTTTATTTATATAGCGCCAAATCACAACATAAGTCGCCTCAAGGCGCTTCATAGATACAGAGAAAACCCAACAATCATATGACCCCCTATGAGCAAGCACTTTGGCGACAGTGGGAAGGAAAAACTCCCTTTTAACAGGAAGAAACCTCCGGCAGAACCAGGCTCAGGGAGGGGCGGGGCCATCTGCTGTGATTGGTTGGGGTGAGAGAAGGAAGACAGGATAAAGACATGCTGTGGAAGAGAGACAGAGGTTAATAACAGATATGATTCAGTGCAGAGAGGTCTGTTAACACATAGTGAGTGAGAAAGGTGACTGGAAAGGAAAAACTCAATGCATCATGGGAATCCCCCGGCAGCCTACGTCTATTGCAGCATAACTAAGGGAGGATTCAGGGTCACCTGGTCCAGCCCTAACTATATGCTTTAGCAAAAAGGAAAGTTTGAAGCCTGATCTTGAAAGTAGAGATAGTGTCTCTCAGTGTAAATACATATTGGGTCGAAGCAGCAAACAACAACTTGAATGGCGTGGAAGGTTGCAGTGTAGTAAACAATGGGCTTTCCAGGAAGTACAATTAGAAATTAGGAAGTAGATTTCAAATTGAGCTTTACTTTCCCTGCAGTGTCCAGCTGCTTTCACACCCTCTGACCCAAATCCTCTCTCTCTGCGGGTTTAAGACACTGACCGACTTGTTGGGGTTTTTTAATCGGACTCTTGTGAAAAGGTCTAAATAAAAAGTCAGTTTTGTAGTTACATGTGTGAAAATACTAACTTAACGTTGCTCAGAAGTTAATGAAATTTGGAGAGTTCAGAGTCAGTCTGGTGTCCTGGTCAGTGATGGAGACAGGCAGCATCGTCCCTGCAGCAGTTTTAGAGAAGGATTACTTAATCAAACATGTTTGTAAGGCTGGAAAAACATTGAGCTTCTCGCCTGTGAAACTTAGACCTGCTTCTTTCATTCAAACATCAACGGTAGTGTCAAAGTCTGGCATTTTATACTTTATAG